AAGAATGAAGAATTAAATCAGAAAAGTTACAGGATGCAAAATAAACATACAACCATTAGTTCCATTTCTACAACCTAATGAGAAATTCTTTGATGGAAACTAAAAGAATGTAATCAAATTTACAAAAGAATCAAAAACAATAAAACCGAAAGGAATAAATTCAACCCAAAATGTGAAACATCTGTACAGTGAGCCCTATAAGACAGTAATGAAAGGAATGGAAGAAAACACAAATAAGTTGAAAGACAACCTGTGTTCATGGATCTGAAAATGAAATATGTTGGAGACAGCTGTAGTACACAAGGCAAACTACAGATTAAATGCAATCCCACTAACTCCAATGGTATTTTACAAAGAAATGAATAGAAAATCTGGAAATGGAATCAAAAGACCTCCATTAACAAAAGCAATCTTTTTTAAAAAAGGTATTTTATTAATTTTTTACAGAGAGGAAGGGAAAGGGAAAGAGAGTTAGAAACATCGATGGGAGAGAAACATCAATCAGCTGCCAGGTGCACACTCCATATTGGGTATGTGCCCGCAACTAACCTACATGCCCTTGACCAGAATCGAACCTGGACCCCTTGAGTCCGCTGGCCAAGGCTCTATCCACTGAGCCAAATGGGCAAGGGCCATAGTCAGTAAAATGAGGCTCGAGAGCCACACGCGGCTCTTTGGCCCCTTGAGTATGGCTCTTCCACAAAATACCACGTGCCGGCGCGCACATACAGTGCGATTGAAACTTCATGGCCTTGGGCTGAAGTCGCTATTTTGTGCAAGAGCCAAACTCAAGGGGTCAAACAGTCGCATGTGGCTTGGGAGCCACATTTTGCCGACCACTGGAGGGCAACAAAAGCAATCTTGAGCAAGAAGAAAGCTGGTGGTATCACACCTCCTGACTTCAATTTATTACATAGAGAAAGCAAGCAAACAGTGTGTTGCTGGAGAAACACAGACACATATACCAATAGAACAGAACGGAAAACAGAAAAAAACTGAGGCACATACTTTTAAGT